TGATCAAATGTGTGATTATTCTATTTATATATTCATTTTATCAACTACAGACAGATGATGGAGAGGATGACCTGAAGAAAGGCACACAGCTGTTGGAGATCTATGCTCTGGAAATCCAAATGTACACAGCACAAAAAAACAACAAGAAATTGAAAGCCTTGTATGAGCAGTCACTTCATATTAAATCTGCCATTCCTCACCCGCTCATAATGGGAGTTATTAGAGGTATGACAGTGTTGCTCACTTGTTCATAGAACAGCAGTTTTATTTTAAGTGTAACTGTCACACTATGTACTGTTAGAGCTGTTTGCTGAATGACCTGTGCTTGTTTGGTCCCGGCCAGAGTGTGGAGGAAAGATGCATCTGAGAGAGGGTGAGTTTGAGAAAGCTCACACAGACTTCTTTGAGGCCTTTAAAAACTATGATGAGTCTGGAAGCCCCAGAAGGACGACATGCCTGAAGTACCTGGTCTTAGCAAACATGCTGATGAAGTCAGGAATAAACCCTTTTGACTCTCAAGAGGTATGAACGCAATTGCTATCATTTTAAATGTTTGCTTTTAATAGCTGATTATATACTGTATCTAAGAATATACAGAAGGAAAGAGCAAGAAAGGAAAGAACAGTAGCTGGTTGCCAAATAAGTTTGTGCAGTTTAAATTTTTGATAAAGCACATCTCAAATATGTCTAATCAGAGCAATTTGTTTGAAGTATTTTGGGGGTTTTGTGCTTAATCAGTGAACTTTTATTTAAGTTTCAGTGTTTTAACTTCTCACATTTTTTCCAAAGGCCAAACCATACAAAAATGACCCAGAGATTCTAGCGATGACAAACTTAGTAAGGTAAGAGTGCATTCATTTTTCACTTGTGTGGGCTGTCGTTTCTACCTCTTAAACCATTTTACTCCAGTCTTATTCTGAGATGCATGCCATCACAGTTTTACTAAAGAGCCCGATTGGAAAGCAACAAGAATAGTGAGACAGACAGTCATTTAATCCAACTGTGACAACAAATACACTGAAATGTTTTGCACAGGTCATCTGAATAAAGACTTGGTGGCTCACTTCCTCATTGTTATTTAGTAAGAGGCTTAGACAGTACGGTTGAACTGCAGACTTTAAATCGGTCTTATTATTATCTGCACTTTGTTGTTGCTCAGTTCATTACAAACATTGGTATGTCATTGTTGGAGAGAACAAGCTTTAAAGGGGAGGAAAGGTGAGATTTAATTGGCTGGGAGGCGTGATAATGAATTCTCTAACCCTAACCCATGTACAATGCAAGGGCACGCTGAGTGTGTACTGTCATACCCTCAGTACACCAGGCATGGTACATATGACTGCTTAGTTTGAACCCTGCGTCTTTGTAATGCAACAAAATTGGAACAAAAAGACTTGCTTACAGTGAAAAAAGTTGCCTTGTTTTGAATGTGTAGTTATCTCTTTTACCTAGATATGCTTAATTTATTGCTTTTGGTCAGTATTTCAGCTGTGCATTATGTTCATTTATTTCAGTGGATGCCTTGTATCATTTCACAACACACAGTGATACATTAACAGTCAACATTAGCCTGTCAGCATTAGTGTACATGTCACAGTATTTGTATGAATCAGAGAGCATGACTATTGTCTTCTCGAAACCTTTAGTAACTTTCTGCTTCCTTGTTGGCTCACTTTTTGTCCCCATGTTTGCTAATAGGCACTGTCTCACTTTGCTCAGATTTCATGCACATATTTTTCACATTTTTTATCACATAAACAAGAAACTAAGAGCAAACACCCAAAATTATCATAAGAATAGTGTTTACATAAAACAGAAATATTTTGGAATGTGTTTGACAGCTGTCAGGATGACAGTTTTTGTGTGGGTCACGGAGACACAATGTATATGGTAGAACAACAGCGACTGTTTTCCCTTTCAGCGCCTACCAGAACAATGACATCACTGAATTTGAGAAAATCTTGAAAACAAATCACAGTAACATAATGGACGACCCCTTCATTAGAGAGCACATAGAGGGTGAGTGGAGAACGTGACATCAGTGCACACACACGACAAATATGTTGGGGAAAAAAAATTATATATACACACACACACATATATATATATATATAGCTAACAGTGTGATGTTTTGTTGCAGAGCTTCTGAGGAACATTAGAACTCAAGTACTTATCAAACTCATCAAACCATACACAAGAATACACATCCCTTTCATTTCCAAGGTAAGTCAGCTTGATCAAAACATTCCTTTACAGTGACTTTGTCTGTCATGAATTGATGTAGACAAAAAGCCATTCAGTCATTTCTGTGGAGGAAAGGATATCATTTCCAAAAAAACAGAAAGATAAGCCTGCTTTCTCTGGACACACCTGTTAAAGTGAAATCTGATATTGCAAGACCTGGTCTGGTTTTGCAGAACTAGTAGTTTGGTTGTAGAGGTGGAGCTCCTAATGGATTTATTGATTTGCTTAATTACCATGTAATACAAATAAATACAGATGAAACAGCAGCATAGATCATATGATCTACACCTGAACAGTTGGTTGTCTGTAGTTTTCTGTGTGTTTTAGTTATTAAAAGAACAATATTTACTGACTTGTGTTTGTTTTTGTTTGTTTTAAAATGACTAACTCAAGAAGACGAGCTAAAAAGCAGTATTTATATGAGGAAGAAATAATAACATCACCAATGCTTGATTGTATTTGTTGATGGCTTTCCAACCCCTGTTTGTTTTTGGTTTGCATATTTGCATGATACTTTGCCCACAGGTCTTTTGAATCCTGGGCACGCTTTAATGTTTAAATCATCCGAGCTGACATGCCTCTTGACAGATGTGAGGATCAGTCTTTGTCCTGTTTGTGTTGCAGGAGCTGAACATTGACGTGTGCGATGTGGAAAGTTTGCTGGTGCAGTGCATCTTGGATAAGTAAGTCTGTCACTGACGTGCATGCTGAGAAGTAAAACAGAAAAATAGCTTCCTTCCTGTAAAGAGTTGCATTTCCTCATAGTTTGCATCCTTTGGCCCTTAAGGGAGTTAGTTGATGGTCATACTGTGATGGTGACATGCTCTTTGCAGGTTTATAACCCGGCTCTACTGGTTCACTGACGTAAATGATTTGGCAAAACATGACAACACGGGATGACAGAAACATGTCATTTAATGTTTTTTTTTTATTGTTGTCATTGTGCTCTAAAAATATTAAAGAAATATATCATTCATTTGAAAGCATAGGTGACTAGGCAGAGCTAAAGTATTGTTTTTTTTTTTCTTAAATACAGACTTCACTGTCCGTGTTTAAAGAAAAAGGGAAATCTCCAAGATTTCCTCTGGGATCTTCCTTTTTAATTATGCTACCTACTTTCTTATTGTCTTTACTGCATTATGCTAAAGTACAATTTACAGGTAGAGTAGATATAAACTGTTTAACTGCAGGAAGACTAGTAACTGTTATTATGGCATTTTAAAGCTGAACTACAAGAGCTTCACTGATTTGTGAAGCCCCAAATTTGAGTTATTTTACTGATAACGCTTTTTTTTTTTTTTTTTTCATTCACAGCACAATCCACGGACGTATTGACCAGGTGAACCAGCTACTAGAACTGGACTACCAGAAAAGAGGAGGGGCTCGCTACACAGCTTTAGACAAATGGACAAATCAGCTGAACTCTCTGAACCAAGCCATTGTTAGCAAGCTCACATGATGGCATGTAAAAATCAAGAGACAAGGAAAATGGCATGTTTGAATACATCCATAAAGTTGCTACTGTGCTTCTTCAAGTATATCCTCTGAGACAAGATACACAGCACAGATTTTGAGAATGCATCAATTTCAAGAAGACTCGCAAGAACCCCGAGAACGTGTGTTGTTTTGTCCCAATGAGAGGAAATCACTGACACTTATTTTTGTTTTTCATGTTCCTGATTGGCAGATCCTTCCATGTGCAACACACAAATGCTTCAGTTGTTTAAAGAAAAATGTCCAAATGTGTATGAAAGTGTGTACACAGTATTTTAATGTATACTGTTGCCTGTTGGTAATAAACAGATTTCTCTCAGCACTAAAAATCAACTGCCTTTGACTGGCTACAGAGTGTGACCTTGGCTGAATGTGGAGTCAAATAAATGTTTTTAAACTGTCATAAATCACACATAGAGATATCTTTCTTTTAGTTGATTGGAATCTCTTTGTGGAAGGTATTTCTGTGCGCTCATCATGTGCAGCATTTTCCAGTCGGTTGCAGCTTTCTGGGCCTCGGCGGCTTCCGTTCCAGGTGACTCCCATTTCCACTCTGACAGCAGTTCGCTGCTCGCAGTTAGTCACAGCTAGCAGCTAGTGAGCGGAGAGCGCAGCTAGCTGACGCAGCTGCGTCCAGCAACAGTTAACGGCGGAGTCCAGTTAGTCGGAGCTGGGTGTGAGTCACTACGCCTTTAGTGGTTGTAATTTACAATGAAGAAATTAAAAAGGCCCACATCCTGACGTCCACATTGTGGTCAATGACAGTCTGTCGCGGCGTCGGTGACTGACATGGACGCTAGTGACAATAAGGTACAGTTTATTTTGCATTTGTTTTTGTTGGGATCTTGCTAACGCTTTAGCTTATGGAAATGGAACATAGCGTTACTTAATAGTGTCGAGGGCCCAAAATCGGGTTCGTATTATTCAAAAAGCGCCTGTTTCGTTATTGTAATTATAAATAGCAGCGATTATCAATTCTGTTTGGGTTTTTATTCATGCTAACACCGTGAAAGGTTGTGGTGTTTGTCAAATGCAACAACAAGATAAGCAGAGGCTAGTAAGCTAACATTCGAACAGCTAATGGGTAAGTAAAGCTCATTATAAAAGGTAGCCCTCGATTCAGTTCTCTTCTTTTGTTGTAATGCCTGTGTGTTTGGTCATTTTACAAAATGGCTCAGCTGTATATCCGTGACAGCACTTCTTGTCCACAAAGACAGGCTTGGTTAAATGTTAGCGTGGCTAGCTAGCTATAGCTAACTTAAACATCTGAGTTGTCATTTGACAGCAGTTGTCATTTAAATCAGAGCGTCAGCTGAGCGACAGATACAAACGAGCAGGGTGTTTGATAGTGTCACAATCTGGAGAGGCAGGCTTTACCAAAAAGGTTTCAGTCAAGCAGGAATGTGTGCATGAGTGTTGGGAGGAGAGGCAGAGAGGTTTCAGTAGAGGAATGTCTGGTTCTACTGCATGTATGTCATTCCTCTGACGCTGTTAGCTATGCAGAAAGTTTGGTTTGGTTGCGTTTGGGTTTGTTGTCCCTAGGCTGCGTTTTCTTTGGCCACTGCTTGAAATTAACCTGTTACCTTAAACACTGAACAACGGTATTTTTTACAATGTGTCAGACTCCTTGACGTATTTGAAAATGTGCAATCAAGTGGTGTGATATTTATCAGTTCTGTCTTCCTTAATGTGAACTTCTTAAAAGCTTTAATGCATATGCTCCTTTCTTCACAGCCCATCCTGCTTTCAGTGCAGAAACAGATACTCCCTGATAGTGTGTGTGTGAAAGCAACTGGTGTGAGAATAAGTGCTTACACAAACAGAGGCTTGTGAGATCAGTAGACCCCAGTCTAATCGCAGTTCTGTCATCCCCAACGGATGCACATCTGGGTCTGACCTCATTGCCTTTTTTACAATCACAGCTATTCTCACTCACCCTCTCGCTAACACACAGAAACACAACGACATATGGACGAGTCCTGACCAACTCAGGCTTCTCTCACGATTTCTTTACTACTGTTGAGGAGTCAAGCAGCTCCATGAGTAAACACCAGGCCTCAATTCGATGGCTTGCTGGATAATTAGCTTATCCTGTAGTACTGTCCCTACTTTATCCTCTCAAACTTAATCCTTTAACAACAACCTATCAGCCAGTCTGTACCATTGTACCTGATTCAGACCAACTACTGTCCTCCTAAACCCTGCGGCCCTATCAGTTTGGGCGTGAAGGCGGCCATACCTCTGTGGGGGCTCGTGAGCTTTAAAACCCTTTGTTATCGCTGTACTTCTTCACTGACTCCATTTACCATGACTCTGTTGAGATAGTATGAGATCTGTAGATCACCTAAGAAAAACTGAGAGAAGCACCCACAAACAGTAGCAGTGGGAGACAATAGCTGTCTCTGTGACATCCACAGGCTGCACTGATACTCTATTCATACATCCCGACCACAGTTGCAGAGAAGTGAGGGGGCGTCTTTGTACTGTGAACCCTGTCACCTCATCTCATCCTTTGCAAAAATTTGTTCGACCAGTTTGACCACAGTGTCAGATAAGGACTGGTGCTTATAAACAGCAATGGACAAATCAAAACAAAACAGCGACGGACAACAAGTGTTATATTACTGTGTCAATTTTGAGGTTTTGTAAAAAAATTCCAATTACATCACGTGTTTAAAGGTTTATGGCATTATATAGGTTACTCTGACTTGTTGAGCACAATAACTTTAAGTAGGAGTTTTCGCCCCATAGCACTTGTAAGGAATTGTTTCTAGTTTACGTTGTCTGACAAATATGTAAGCAGTCTCTCATGAGAGTTAGTACATTTATATGGACCTTAGCATCCATGATGTTACACTGTTATGACTATAAAATAAGGATTACTAAACTTAAAGTGTGTAATGTAAAATTCATTGCTCTGTTTTTACATGTAGTACACGATAGTGCACATTACACAGTGGTATGTTTTTGATTTCGAATAGTTATTTATGGGATTTGTAGGCCTGCGTGTCAGGTGGTGTAATCACTGAGCTTATCCTACCCATTTGGCTCCATTTAGCTTCATGTCTCTGCAGAACAATTGTCTTAAGTGGCTGATTAAGTTTGGAAGTACTTCTGTGTTTTCGTCCAAAGCCTGTTTTGCAGTACTCTTCTAATCTTTGCCGTTTCTGAGGCCACTTGTCTCATTTCTTAAAGCACAGGACCTCAGCTATTGACTTGGTGTGTTTGTACTATAAATCAGGAGACCCATACAATTAGACTAGCAAGAAGCAGATCTCTAGTAAGCGCATAAAACACTTAAAAAAAAAAAAAAAGAAAGAAGAAAAAGGTCATTGTTGCCATTGTTTTTGACTGAATTGCTCGATTCATTTATATAGTTTGATTGTATTGATAATTTGTTCAAGTTAAAAAGCCTTTTGTCTGAATCCTTCAAAGCTCTACAAGGTGTGACTAATAAATAATGAGACAAATGCTGTAATTCTAATTTTCTTTCAATTTCACTTGATTCAGAGATATTGAAATTGTATGTGTGCTGTTGTTCACCTCACATAAACCCAGTCTGGTTATTTAATAGCCCTACCTTGTATGCTTTACTCAGTCGGTGAGTCATTTTTTCTGTGGTTACCTTTGATTCTTTAAAGCATGACCGTCATGATGCATAGTGTCATAAATCAGAAAGATAACGTACAGCTAAAACTTTTCTGCTTTATAATGATTTAAGAAAGAGTTCTAGTTGATGCTGTAGTGACGTAACTGTGTGGATTTTTTTGAAATGTAATAGATCCTTTCTTTGTATTCAAATGTTTGTGAGAACTAGTTGGGAGACTGCGTGGTCCTCCGACTTAGTCCAGCTTCTGTGTTGTTTCTAATTTTTTGTTTGAGAAATTAGAACAATTCCAGGACCAATCACGGTTAGTCCTTCATTTGTTAAACAAGCCTCCAGAATATATCTCATACCAATGCAGAGCCTAGTGTTTGTGGCTTTTTTAAGGCCTCACACATCGGCTGTGAATGTGTCAACCATCAACTTAAAAAATAACATAACAAAGATAAATAGACGATCATCATGAACAGTTGGATAAACAACTACTTAAACAAAGTCCAAAATAATTTTGGCTATGAGGTGTAGATACTCACCTCAACGTAGACTATTTTAACATGAAGCTGGCCATTTTCTGTGTTTTTCATCTCTGTTTAATCAGCTGCAGATTTCTTAGTCACATCAGTGACTGTCAAAAACGGCACTGTACTTTGTTTAGAGCCTCTGGCATTCCTGTGTTATGTCATATTTGTGTTTAAAGTTTTATGTCCTTGTGTTAAGCCCTGTTCCTTTTTTATGGATGGTTGTCGACACTCAAAACCATAAACCAAGTGGAACATAATGATGAAATGCAATCCTCTGCTATGATTACCATGAAATAAATGAGAGGTCGATCAGTCAGCTGGTAGACTATGCACAGCACTCTCTCTGTTTCTATTAGATGTTTGCTGTATTTAGGTTAATAATTTGAAATGGACTGCCCATAGATAGTCTTGTACATGCTAGAGACACAGCCTAACAATCCTCACAAACCTATCCTAGCAGTAAAGTTAAAGTATGGTGTATTTATAGGTAGGTGGGTTTTCATGACTGTGTTGTTATGGATTGAACTTTCATTCTACAGCTATCTCATTTGATAGGTGTGGAATGGCAATAATGATAAAATGCATCGGTTGTACTGTTTTTATACAGACATGGAGAAGACGAGCAGAAAGTTGGACAAACAAATCTGTGCTCTTGGGTGCAGTTTATATATATATATTGAATTTCCCTTCTGGGATAAATAAAGTATTTTTCATTTTATTTCAGACCTGTGTCTCTCTGAAGTGCATCATGTAGCCAATAATTGGCTGCCGTGGCTCACAGTGTGGCAGTAATGGCTGTTCATTTGTTTCTGTGCAGGATGTGAAGCTTTCACCTGAAGTGGAACCGTTCATCCCACAGAAGAAAGGTCTTGAAGGATCCCTAGTCAGCATGAGTCTTTCTGGCGAGCCGGGTGGAGGAGGAGGGGGTGGAGGTATAGGAGGAGGCAGTGGAGGGGTGGAAACCACTCCCATACCCAGCTACCTCATCACCTGCTACCCTTTCGTCCAGGAGAGCCAACCCAACAGGTACTGTTACTCTGTCACAGCGAGGGGATGTTTGAGGATGGATGAAAGTAAAGGCAGTCGCTGCAAACTCATTTAACTATGAACTAATGACTCCTATGGTTCTGGTTCATGAAAATTCTGGATTTTGACAATGCTGTCAACTTCTGAAATATTGCCATCGCCTGTAGCATTGTAACAAGTCTGGTGAGCTTTGAACAACCCAAGAAAAAGCAGCTCTCATCTGGAATATTCACTACTACTTCTATTTTCAGAGTAACTCATTTACTCTACTATCATTATAATAATAACAACAAAAGAGCATTGTGTCCCTGATGTTGTTCTTCACATACAAGATCACGATCAGATCTTTTAAACAGTGTGTTGAAGCTGAACCGTTAGATTGCTCTGTACTGTAACACTGCTTAATTATGAATGGAAGCCTCCCCAGAGTTTACATGGAACCACAATCTATGTTTCCAGTGGCTCTTTCTTTGTCCTGAATGATCTGCTGTATCCTGCACACATCCGTTCCTTTGTTTCCTTCCCCACTATTTGAATGCAAGGAAATGCCCGCTATAGTGGGCTGGCTGTGAAAATGTCATCTGGATTCTTATCAGCTTTTGTGCATGCTATGTACATGCCCCCTAACAAACCAGTCGGCTTGCACATCACTGCAGCATTGCAGACGTTCAACTTTCCTATAAACCTCTCTCTCGCTAAAGCAACCTAAATCTTATTTTGCAAGGCACATAATAATCAGTCTTCCCTACGCTGCTGCTTATTTGGAGAAAATACAATGGAAAAATGTTTTAAACAGCGGAAACAAAGTAAAAAAAAAAACAAAAAAACAAGCTTACACAATGCCATGATTCAGTTAAAGCTTTTTCTTAGATTTTGTGAAATATTTTGTTCTGTCCTCTAGCATTTTGTGTAATTTCCATGGGAAAGGGAGTGTCAGTCTTTTAATGCTGTGACAGGAAAGTTTTAACTAGATTTGAACAGACTTCTACAAATAATCATTGATTTTGGTGGTTCGTAGGCAGGACTTGCACTGCAGGAGCATGAGGCCAGTTTCCCCTGTTTCTCCCCTCTTAACAATTAGAGGACAATATCGGTCCAGGATTTAGTCTGACCCATTGTTCAGCTCAGATTATTTGGCGGTGTGAGGGGTTTACAGATTCCCTCCTGAATCTCCAAAACTTCTGGCAGACTCATCAGGGCCATCCCAAACAATATAAAACATGTTTAATATGTATGTGGTAAAACCAGGATAGTTCCGATTATCACGGAAGTTCCCAGAGCAGTGTACGCTTGCCAAGCAGTGCTAAACACAGTAGCCCCCGAGGCTAATATTAGCTACAGCTATTAAAACTGATAGATGAATCTCATAGCTAATTCTAGCAGAAGAATAGACAAACTGTGTTGGCCGTGTTTTCTGGCGACTGTCTCATCCAGACTCATAGCCTTCCGCTTATGTTTTAGCAAAAAGTGTCTCGGTGAAGAGTATTATTAGTGTCACAGCCTGTTGTTAAACCACAGTCTTCATTTTGTTTACGTCTGCATCCCCATGAGATCACATGAGTTGGTGCACTGCCTCTTGACTGCTCCCTCTGGCAAGATAGTCTTAGTAATATCCTATAGTGTGTGATGCGTCAATATTTCCAAATCCTGTAGTGTGTGCACATTTGAGATTAAAGAGAGGAGTGTTTTGTTGAAGTTTCTCTTTGTGTGTGATGTAACCCAAAGACAAGTCTGTTTGGATTTTAACTTCTGTAGTCTGTGCCCTGCCGTAGTTGAAAGAGTTGCTGATTTGAAATAATCCACCATGTTTCCTCTCTGCTGCTTCACAGACAACACCCTATGTATAATGGAGGGGAGCTGCGCTGGCAGCAGCCTAACCCCACCCCTGGTGGTCCATACCTGGCCTACCCCATCTTGTCTTCCCCCCAGCCTCCTGTCTCAAATGACTACGCTTACTACCAGATTATGCCTGCTCCATGCCCGCCTGTGATGGGCTTCTACCAGCCCTTCCCTGGCACTTACGCAGGGCCAGTGCAGGCCGGAGTGGTCAATCCCGTCTCTGCAGACGTCAGTGAAAGGCCGCTGCCTCTGGGGCCGACCTATGGAATGGCCAGTCAGAGAGGGAGAGGCATGGTTCGATCGAATGTTATCCCAAAGGTACAAAAGATCAATATCCTGTCTGTGATTCTGTCACACGAATGTCACTTGGTATGTCTATGCTAAAAAAAAGTGTGCCTCCTCCTCATCTTCAGTCTGTTTAGTAAGTATACCCTGCCTCCTTTTCTTTCTCCTACAGCAACATTTGGGTGTGTGTCAGCCTCCAAGGGGTCGCCGGCCTCCAACTAGAAATGTAGCTGTGCAGAAGGAGGTGTGCACCTTAGGGCCTGACGGTCGGACCAAGACCGTCATGTTGGTGGATGCAGCACAGCAGACCGGTAAGAATGCTGCAGCAGTGATTATAGACACATTTAAGTCCTAGCATGCAGGCTGTATACAGAGTTTATGTAACAAGAAAATCATAAAGAAAAAACAACCTCACATCCTCACAATGAAAAGCTTATAAGCTATGGCAGTAGAAATGTCTGAGTCTCATTATGGCCCACACGAATGATGTTCTTCAGTCCCGGGGCTCAAAGGAAGCTGAAGCTCAACACATTCCAGACTTTATTAAAGTTAGCTGCTTTACTTGAGAGCAAGACTCCTTCCTGTCAGTGAGGAAGTGGGACACAATGACGATAAGAGCCATGTCTGGTCTTACAGGTTGATGTTGATGATGCTTGTGCTTAACATCTGAAAGACTTGGAATGCAGAGTTTCCAGTTGGAAAGGTTAACATATGTGCAGCTCAAGATGTCCTTACCGTTGCTTTTGATTCTGAAAACCCAAATGAGCCTGTTTAGATTGTTTGTCTGCTCAGCTGTGGTTTTATAAACATACAAAATGTCATAAAGTTAGTCCAAGTTTGTGTTCGTTGGATCTCCTTATTGTCCTTTTTGACGATGTAGCAGTTTATTCCACTTGCTACACCCCTTCTGGAGAAATTTTTTTTTTTTACTTTGTCAGTATGTTTATAAGCTATTTTTTACAAGCTAGAAGACATATCATGAACAAATTTGGCCGACAACTTCATGGCAGAGCATTTTCACATTGAAACTGCAGACAGTTTAAAAAACACAGATTCTGACTTCTGGGATTTCATATGTAACAAAGCTAAGGATCCAATCCTGAAATCTTGCAGGGTCTTTCTTTATCATTACTCCTCTTGAGAATCAGTTTTTGGCTTGAACATGTATGGCTGAATCTGTCCAATAACTGTTGTGTAGCGCAGAGTATTTTTACAGCTACGGAGCTCGAGCTGATGTCAGTGGAGAAGAATGAGTGAAGAGAAAGGCAGAGACTTAAGTAGAGCCACACATAATAGACAAAGAAGTGATGTAGAGTTACGTTGAAACCAATTTAAAGTAGGAAGGGGTTATTTTTGTGGAAATACAATCTAAATATATAACTTTGACACACAGAGATGACTCCAGGAGTTAAATCAACAACCGGAGAGGGACTTTAATTTTGTGTATTATCAGGTCTAAGTTCTTCTGCCTTGTCCTCAGATTTCCCGGGTGAGGTATCAGGGCGGTGTGCTGCTGAGCGGGTTAGTCCCCTGCTGTGGAAGAACCGAACAAAGAGAAGACGGGCCTCCCATCCAGCTGAAAGCTACAACGAGCAGGGCGCCAGTGAGGCCGATATAGACAGTGACAGCGGCTACTGCAGCCCCAAGCACAACCAGGCGACTGGGGCGACACAACGAACAGCAGAGACTACAGTAGCACCTATGGTATGTTGGCTGCTTACCATCACCTCCAGATCCAACAGACTTATGATAAAATATAGAATCGAAATGAGTAAAGTGTTGGTTCTTCACTGCATAGTTCTTTGACGGTTTTGGTGCTGCACTACAAGGGCAAGGTTTGAAAATCAGCCAACGTGAAAATGACTATCCCGACATCAAGTCAGGAAGTAGGAAGTCAAGCATTTTACAGTCACAGAGAAAAGTCCATTAGAGCATCTATAGCTCCAGTAATGTGATATGTTTCTGAGTGAAACAGAATATGTTGAGGGGTTTAGTTACAAGATGGATTGAAATGATTGATTTAGTGGAACTGTTAAAGAGCAATACACAATCTGGAAGTAAAAGCTGCATAAACTGATGAATACATGAAATAAAAGTATCAGCACCATTGACATATTCCCCTACTGGTTTGGTGAAAATCCTAACAAATTTACTTTGATTTACAGATTGTCAGTGTGTAACTAATCGTGGTTAATTTGCTGTGTACACAAAAGCACTTAAGTTAGCTACATAAGTGGAGTACACTGTGGATCTTACACTGAAGAATTTAAATGTGTTCAATTCAAAGCCGATGTAGCAGAACGGTTGCAGCATATGCCACATCACCGAAATGTCCATCATTCAAGGTTATCCTAGGTCCTTTTATTGCACGTCATCCTGCCTTCCTCTCTCTTTTGCTCTCCCTTTGTTTCCTGTCTACTCACACACTCTCAACTGTCTAATAAAAGCCAAAAAATAATCTTGATAGAGGTCATAGATACACCAGAAAGAACAACTAGGATATATGAGCGTACTGCACAGAGCTACCACCACTGGAGGAAGTGTAATGTAATCTTTAAATTACTTTTGTCCTCACAGTGTTACACGCACCTCTCAATTTGCCCTTTTTCTTCAACCTTTCTATGTTTTCTGTGTCTTATAGGGAGTAGAAGCCGGTGTAATGACGGGTAAGTTTGATGCACCATGTTTTTTGAATGAGGGGTTAAAATCTTCTATTACTCATCCTTACATTGTGTTTTCATATCCTAATTTTTATTGCACCGTTCATTTAATCTGTTGCGAAAGAATGGAGATGTTTCCTTAACACAAGAATGACTTTTGTCTTTGTTATTCAGTAGCAGGCACCTGGGTGAATGTAGCATCTCAGGCTACACCCAAGTCCTGGGGAGACAGAAACGGCCAGTTTCACAGAGCAGATCCGAGGAAGAATCCTGAACAGAGAAACTTCTCACAGGTAAAGTAGATCCCACTGAAGCAGACACTGAGCATAAGGCTTCTGTATGTCTGCTGAACATCTCTGGTATTAAGTAATGATAAAAGAGAAATACAATTCATTTTAGTGTAAAGACTTCATCCTGTAATGCTTCCTGAGCAACATATAAGGACGGATATACAGTAAATCCTAACTGTTGGGAACTGAGCCCACTTTTGGGTATTGGTGTAACAAAAAATGCACTTATGACGACAAATAAGCCGTAAACAGAGACGATGGAGTTGGCAGAATGAAAAGCTAGTTGAGCAGGAAAGGCTTAGACAGTCGGTGTCACTATTTTCTTATCTATAAGTAGTTGAAATTTTGGATGCAAAGTCATGTAACTCTCAGGCACCCTGACAAAAAAAATTAGCATATACGTAGTATCACACCTATATTAGTCATTAGCATTCTGTTGTGCCTTTTTTAGGATGTCTTGAAATAGTGATAAGAGTCAGCTGTCTGTGTGAATTAGCTTGTAAGCTGGTCTGTTCACTCTAGCTTCTTTTTCTACAATGTTTCCCCAGCTTGGCAGCAGGTGCAGAAATACACTGAGGGTTAAAGTTATTGAATACCACTGGTACCCTGTCTGACTCGTGTGTTCACTTTACGTATCTGCCTTTCAGGATTTCCACAGTGGTTATGCAGGGCGAATGCCGCCCAACCAGTCAGAACCACGTCTCCAGCCAGCAGCCGTCACTGGCACCGATCTCACTCCAGAGCCTCTCTTCTTCGAGGTATGAGAATTTTTCATTATAAAGAATTCTTCATGCAGCGGTGTTACCATCGCACTAATGATGCCTTTATTTCAGAGAATTTATATGTTGTTAAAACGTTTCATGCATATTTGCCAGGATGAAGATGAGTTCCCAGATCTTGCAACTGGAGGGGCTGCCCAGCGCAACAACAAACCAGAAACTCCTCCAGCCCAAACACACACACAACCTAAACTGCCCAAAAACCTGGTAAGAGGAAGCCCTTTCTGAACACAATTCTCTTTGTAAGCTCTATATTATTAATCAAATGCAAAAAATGTCTTGCATATAGTCTGATATGCACACACAATCCACTCTCATACAAAAACAAGGCATATAAATGTTTTGGTTCAGCTGTGCTCAGGATTTGATATTTGTATTTAAAAAAAAAAAAATATGACTTTACTTTTTTCTTCAGTATTTATTTCAAATGCACACCAGAAAATGCTTTATTCACCACTCCTGCATGAGGGAAAATGGACAGTGATCTATTAGATAAATCTTTGGCCAGTCTCTGTAAATAGAACAGCACATGGCTTCAGTGGTATCTTTGAAGCTTGAAAGTAGCATTATCTGCTAGCATTCCCTGTGTGGACCCAGCTTCTCTGTAACTTTACCGTCAGTGAATTTCACCTCTTTAGATTATTAGCAAGCTGTGTGGTGTGCCCCTGACATTCTATATAATACTTCTCCATATCAGACAGTACACCGTGACGCTGATATATTGTTCCTTGTGTGAACATTGTGGAAACTTGAAGCTCTGCGTGATTGGGAAGTGTTAAAAGACAGAAGAGGTGCATTCCAGATGCACCATCTTTCACACCCACATATACTAGAGGCACATAGGAAAGACAGAGACAGGATTGCTTAATGACATGAACTTTTTGCGTGTCTGTCACATAAGTGATTGTATATATATGCAGCTGAATCACTGCTGAATCCTATATCTGTTAACCTTTACATTTCTAATAAATACTTATTTCTGTCTCTACATGCATCACAGCTGGATAACCTGCCAGAAAACTCCCCTATCAACATTGTGCAGACACCCATCCCCATCACCACTTCTGTTCCCAAGAGAGCCAAGAGCCAGAGGAAGAAGGCTCTGGCTGCTGCTTTGGCCACTGCACAGGAATACTCTGAAATCAGCATGGAGCAGAAGAAATTGCAGGTACAAACTTAACCTTCTGCTTCTCACTGCCGCCTGGTCTATGATTACCCTCTTACCGTAACCCTTGTTTTGCCTTTTCGTTCTTTGCCTGACAGGAAGCATTCACCAAAGCAGCAGGGAAGAAGAGTAAAACATCTGTCGAGCTGGACCTGGGAGACATGCTGGCCGCTTTAGAGAAACAACAGCAAGCTATGAAAGCCAGACAACTCACCAATACCAAGCCATTGTCTTTTACAGGTATCACTAAATGAGATAAGACAAGAGGCTTTAGCTTTTTGCCAAGTGTTAATTAAAATACTCTCTTTTTTTGAGGACACAGGTTCTACATACATACTAACTTTGTTGTCTGTATCTCCAGTTGGAACAACTACTCCATTCCACAGCTCAGGCTCCACCAGCGTGCCGTCCATGTTGAAGGGTCATCAGCAGCCATACTCAGCCTCACATAACGCCCTGGACTCCACCGCACCCCGCATCAAGAGGGGAAAGGAGAGAGAAATCCCCAAAGTCAAACGGCCAACAGCTCTTAAGAAGGTAAAGGAGTCAAAGTTAATGATGCAGACGTGTTGGAAGAGGATGTTATTTACCCTGCATTTAGAATTTGTTAAGAGAAGCTCGTCTTTTTTCCTATAGATTATTCTGAAGGAACGCGAAGGAAAGAAGGGGAAGCCAAGTGTAGAACAAGAGTCATCGGGGCATGAGGAGCATGGAGACGAGTGTCTACATTTTACTGACGATCTTGCACGAGAGCCTGCCTCCCAAGAAGGTGAGGGGAATTCATTGTTAAGAAGTAAAGACATCTCACTTGTACCTTTGTTTTTTTTTTCCATATCCATGATGTAATTTGTAATGTTATTTGTTTGTGCCACAGAGAACGGCCTGAGCGTGCCCAGTGATGCATCCCTTTCCCCGGCTAGTCAGAACTCTCCGTATAGCATCACCCCGGTGTCCCAGGGTTCCCCTGCCAGCTCTGGCATTGGGAGTCCCATGGCTTCAAATGCCATCACCAAGATCCACAGTAGGCGTTTCAGAGAGTAAGTACTCCCTCTTATCCCACATAAGTGCCAAAAAAAGGAGTATTGAACTGGGCAAGACCTTTTGAAGGAATCCCTCGCACTGGAATGCCTGAAAAATGTGGAAACAAAAATGATCAGTAAAGCAAATAGTTGTCCCACTCAGAAATCACAGAGCTTTGGCTGTGAGAAGCGTAGCTCTGAAAGCTAACGGGTGTTTTTAAGGGCGGAACTGTACAATAAAGGATTGTAGAGTATGGCACAGATGCCTAGCACATTGTCCTTTCTCCGCAAAAATGTATGCCAATTGTCACAAACACAGCTTTGTCTCTCTGTGTCCTCTGCTGTGGGCCTATTGTCCCAGCCCACCCGTCTCTAACAGATTTTGCATTTAAAGCCTCCAAAAGGCCTCTGTAGCCAAGCTCCTCCCCTGAGCTCTGACCGTCAGGACACTTGTTCCTCAGACCACACTGCATTGACCTTCCTATTGGCGTTTCATCAAACTTGTCCGAATTCACAATGGATCACTTAGTAACAAAGTGCAATAGCATACGCACAGTCAAAACACAATTAAACAAAGTTGTAATGAACAGCTGTATAAATGTTGAATGAGTCATTTTAGGGATAAAAAAAAGTCTAAAGTCTTGTAGAACTTCAACAACAAACAGTTATTTTCATAAATTCCTCTGACAGTTATTTTCCAGAATATTGTTTATTGTCTATAAAATATCACAAAATAGTTAAAAAGCCTAATATGAAATCTCATAGCAGTATAAAGTCAGCAACTAGAGAATTTGTAATGTTTTGCTGTAAATCTTTTTCACAATTATCAAATTGTGCATATTATTTGTTTTGTTAACTGACTAATCATTTAATAATCTGGTCATGCAAGTTTTAAAGCTTTTCTATGTTGTAATCAACATCAATGATGACTCAAAACATGTTTTCAACATCTGTAACCCTCCATTATTATTGTTATTATTATTATTTATTTTTATTTTTTTCCTTTTTCAGGTACTGTAACCAAGTGCTGAGCAAGGAGATCGACGAGAGCGTGACTCTCCTGTTACAGGAGCTGGTTCGCTTCCAGGAGCGAGTCTACCAGAAGGATCCTACTAAGGCCAAGTCCAAACGTCGCCTGGTCATGGGTCTCAGAGAGGTCACCAAGCACATGAAGCTGCATAAGATCAAGTGTGTCATCATCTCTCCCAACTGTGAGAAGATCCAGGCCAAAGGTGAGTGTTGCAATACCACATTGCATTTAGTCAGTTTCTGACATCTGACCAGCTGAGCTGTAAATGTGTTTTCAGTTCAGATCTGTATTTTTAGGCCTCCAGGTCAGCAATGGCAGAAAGTATGTTTTTTAGGCTGTGTGGCTGTATGTTTTCATTCTCGTGAATGCAATGTCTCAAGAACACCTTTCTTCAAATATGGCACAAACGTGACAAAGGTCAAATTGTGACATCATGATGATTTGCAAAATCTGGCCGTTATCTAACACTGTGACTCAGAAACCAAAGGAGAGATGGATCTATACTGAAGCTTGACTGGTTGACAGGGGCATACAAGCAGTAATTCTAGTTATAGCAATGCATTAAATGGCAGTGTAAAGGAGGTTATGTATAATGGGGAACACAGAATTATCATACAATCTGCAGCACCCCTCTTTTTTTTAATTTTTTTTTTATGGATGATTCCACCAATTTTCCTTTATTTGTTTAGCTGTCCAGCCCATAAATTTGCTGTTTTGATTCACTCTCACTGCTTTTAGTTGGCTTCAGCAGAAAATCTTTGAAAACACCTTTAAAAAAAAAAAAAGAAAAGAAAATCACAAAATAGCCAGCACCAAAAAGGCTAAAAGACACACTGCAATGAGCTGATGGTCATGGTGATATTTTCCCTCAGGGACCATAAACAGATTTAAGAGTGACTGCTTGACATACATTCACCAGGTGACTAGAAAAGTGACTCCAAATTATGTTTCTACTGCTGGATGTGTAAAAAAAACAAAAAAAAACAAATGTTTGATTAAAAGTACAAACACAGAAATTCCACATTAATAGATGCTTAGGTGTTTTACTCTCAAACAAACATAGGTACAACCAAAATCACGTTTTTTAAAACATCATTTCGTTGGTTTAATTTGTCAGATTTGATACGTTTGAGTCACTAATTTTTTTTCTGTTGCAGGTGGTTTGGATGAAGCTTTATACAATGTAATTGCCATGGCGAGGGAGCAGGAGATACCATTTGTGTTCGCCCTGGGCAGAAAAGCTCTTGGACGCTGCGTCAACAAGCTGGTGCCTGTTAGTGTCGTGGGCATTTTCAACTACTCCGGAGCTGAGGTAAGGCGCTCTGCTCCGCTAAAACCTTTTGAGTTGAATGTACTGCTTTTAAAACTGCTGATTAAAATATAAACACATGTTTTCTTTGTCTCTTAATGACTTGGTTAAATCCTCCTTCGTCCTTCAGGGCCTTTTCAACCGTTTAGTGTCTCTGACAGAGGAGGCTAGGAAGGCCTACAAGGACATGGTGTCAGCTCTGGAGCAGGAGCAGGCGGAGGAGGCTTTGAAAAATGACAAGAAGGTCCCACACCACATGGGGCATTCCCGAAACCACTCTGCTGCTTCAGCTATCTCCTTTTGCTCCATCTTCTCTGAGCCGATCTCAGAGGTCAATGAAAAAGAGTATGGTAAGCTCCCTCATTTCTGGGTCTCTCATTTTCATCTTAGTAATAACTTTTTAGTGTTAACTGTGATGACTGGTGAAAGAAGTATTCTGATCCTTTACATAAATAAAAGTACCAGGTTTTATATAAATATCGACGTATCGGTGCTGCTGTAGTAGGTAATGATGGTGGAGTTATGGCTAACTACTTCACAAAACTGTAAAGTAATAATGGGGAGGAAAAGAAGACAAGCATGAAATTCTACAGAAATATACTATCATTTCTCAAACTATCCATAGTGTTTGCTATTTAAAAATTGTTGCACAGTTTGACTTTTATTGTGACCTAAACAATAGGCTGGCTCACAGGATGTAGATAATAGGTAGAAACCTGCAGTCGGCCACACATTTCACAAAGCTTTTTCCTCTCTCCTGTGCGTTACCGTTTTCAAGGTTCCTTTTGCAACAGGAAACAACAATCTTTGGGCAGCAGCCCTCCATCCTGACAAAATCAAAGTTTAAATAATGCAGCCCTGTAGTTTTTTTGGGTGAAATATCCACTTTAATGGCAGTACCTCCCTGTATTTTTATGTTACATGAAAACGACTGTCACTGTTTGTAGCAGATGATGTTGCTTACCACTGCTTATTGTGATTGGTTTAAAGAAGTACAAATCAGGCAAAGTGTTTTTTCCTCCTGTTGCAGGATCATAATTAGTTGAACCCAGACAATTTTACGCAGCACGTGAGAATAGTTTGGCTGTGCATTATACGGTTTGAATGCACTTAGCAGAGTGTTGTAGACTCTGCTTATACCATGGTCCCACACAGCGAGCAAACACACAAAATATTTATTTAATTAATAGAACTAGGTAAAAATGCCTATGTTTTTGGGACTATTTTATGCAAGTCTCAGAGCGCCGTTGAAAGCAAGTCACCAGAGCAGCGTGATATAATAGTAATTTAACTGCCAAACTACGTGTGCAAATACACGAAAATAATGCACGCCAGTTAGCCATAGAATTCTCGCTGACCATGGTATAAGACTATATACTTAAACAATCATATAAATGAAACATCTGATGGGAAATACCTCTTTGGTGGAACTGCAAGCACCTCAGATACGTTTACTGTTCGACTTGGCACCCCACCTAGACACTTTGTAAAAGGTCACGAGCTAAAAAGGTTGAGGACCCATAAACGTACTTTGTTGCCTTGTGCCATCATCTGTGATGTTGCTTGTGAAGTGAAGCCTGACAATTGTATTTTTCCTTCAGAGACCAATTGGAGGAGTATGATGGAGACTTCAGACGCCCTGGAGCCTGTAGAGACTGAGCCGAGTCGCCCTGCACCTTCCACAGCCGCCCAGAGAGACAGTGAGGCAGCCGCCACCAACACCGTCCCACCCAGCTCGACTGCTCCCCAGCCCCGCGCAGCGCCTCCCACGCAGGGTGAGAAAGACGAGGTCCGGGTTGACGACCGGCTGGAGCTGGCCTCACAACAGAGCACCGAGACGGGTTCTTTGGATGGGAGCTGCAGGGGGCCGCTGAACTCCTCCATCACTTCCACCACCTCCACCCTGGTCCCGGGGATGTTGGAAGAGGCAGAGGAGGAGGACGAGGAGGAGGAGGACTACACTCCTGAACCTATTTCTGTGGAGGTGCCCACCCTGAGCAGCCGCATCGAATCCTGGGTGTCCAAGACCCTGGAAAACCTGCAGCTGGGGAAGAGCCAAGAAAGTACGGAAGAGGAGGAGGAAGAGGACGAAGAAGAAGAGGAGAGAGGGCAGAGCGAGGACGAGGAGGATCTCGATTCGGCGGACATCACAGAGACGAGGGTGGAGGGCAAAGAACAAGCGGAGGCGAAGAAAGTCACTGGTTGAAATCAGTTCTTTTTTTCTCCGTTCTTACATACATTCATTCCCTCTGTTCTGTGTTGATCTCACGCATCTTCTTCACAGCAGCCAGCAGCCTTCGTCTCTAACCCCTGACACCAGACATAATCTCAGGTATCCAACCAACTGACCAACGCTCACACGCAAAGCATTAACAACACGTTACAGAGAAACCGACCAACTTGTAGACACGCAGGGTTACAGACCAACCGACAACTAACACAGCGTGAGGGATAGTAGGTAACGCTTCCTAAAAAAAGAAAACATTCATCTTGTATTTTAAAAGGATGCCCTCACTTCTCTGGCCCATAACCTGCAACACTTGAATTCAGAGGGAAGCTTTTGATTTTCCTCCTCCGAAGCTGAACTCTTTTGTTTTTTTTTAAAAGAGTCAGGGACATTTTGTGGGAGCAAGTGACGAGTGGTTAAAAAAAAAAAGTGTTGAACTGCTGTCTGTAGCTCACAGAGGAGGGAGGTTGGAACCTTTCAGCTCCCATCTTAACTTACTCAGAGCTCAGAAGGTTTACAGCTCTGCAAGTATTTGTGTGCTTGTGTGTGTCTTTTAAAAGGCACATGGTTTGCATTTATTTTTGCTGTGTTCATTGGCTTTATCTCTGTACATAATGTGTGTTTATTTTCACCTCGACGCTCCACGAGGGAAGGAGAGTTTCTTAATACCTGCTTGGTTGGTGTTTAGCTTTCATCACCGAATATTACAGTGTCAGGGGTTCCGTCTTTGTACCAAAACCACTCCCACCCGTCAGTCTTCAGAGAGTGTTTTTTAATGTTCAAATAATAAGTGTCTCATTCTGTATTCAGATGATTCAAATGACTTAACTTCTAAGAAGCAAAACAAGCTTTGTGAATATAACCTTGTCTAGGTGGTTCTACTACAATATGTAATGATTTGTCATATTGATCTTGCCTAGTGTGAAAATATTTGGGGTTGTTCTTTTTTCCTCTGAATGGAATTGTCTTGAGTTCCCAGATGCTGTCTGTGCTTCATAAAAAAAAAAGAAAGAAAAAAAAGTTCTCCTGTTTCGTTCTCTAGTGTTTGTTCTCTGATAGGGGGCTCAAAAGCTGACTCTTAGCAAAGCTCCAAGCACCATTTTTTATCAGCTTTATTATCAACACTGAGATCTTTTTCCATCCAGAAAGAAATGTTGCAAGTGTTGTGGTAAAATAGAAGCTAGACACAGAACTTCATAGTAAAGTTAATAGCAAAGCACTGCGGCCTGTGTGTGTGTAGTTTACAACAACGTGACTGAATTAGGAAGCTGGAGGACAAGCAGGTGTTCACTGGTTTAATAATGCCCTAGAAAAGTCAGTTATAGTTGCTTATACCTGAAATAAATCGCCGGACACCTCTGCTAGATTATTTTTTTTTTGAACAGATTTTGTAGACATCCAGCTACAACCGTCAGTCATAAGTCAGTTCAGCTCCCTCAAGAGGGCTGAGTCCCCACTGTAAGTCATCACAAAGTCATGCGCATACCTTTGTAAATACAAGTGTACAAAGAGATTTTGATTTTGCATTGTATTAAAAACAATACAATCATCCTGTTCTTAAAGCCATTTGATAGTTTTGACATTTTAACAGTTGGAATCCAATTTGATAATGGTATTTGATAGTGAATCATAGTGAGATTTCAGCCCGTCAATAATGATGCAGTGTGTAAAATGCAGTATGTCGGGCTGTTTGCAATGTGAAGCCCAACGTGAGGTGGGAGATGACAGTGTACTGAATATCATACTTGGGATTATGAAAGTATTTTCTAGTTTGATTAAAGGTACGCTGTGTGTAGGCTTTTTGTTGCTACGACTTCCATCAAAGTGTTTTGAAGTATGTTAATTGACAGCAAGTGTGTTTTTTTGCACTATGTAAATACAGTACTGGTAAAGGTCTTGTAACTAATGTGAACAAAAAATCATAATAGAAGAAAAAGGAAAAAAAACAAACAGACAAAAAAAAAAAAAAAACGGTTTAATGAAGTACTTTTTATCAGCGTGTTCCTCGTCTTTGTATGGATATTTAAGACCGTCTCCTTCAGACTGTACATCACTAGCAACATTGTTAGAGGCTGTTTCTCATAATCCTGTTATCACTCTTAACCTATATGGACTGATGATTAACATCATTAAAATGTTGTTTAAGTAAATCATTTGTCTCAACTTTTATTCACCGTTCCCTCAGCATGTGCAGCAGATCGATGGAAAATTGAGTCACTGTTGTTTATACTGCATATTTACAACAACAGATATTGAGCGAAAGTGTTTTCCAGTAGAGACATAAGACTGACATTGCAAGTGTACAGAAGAAGTCTAAATATTCAGGGTAAGACCCTACAGTGTTACACACTACACTAAATTACCTCACAAATTTAAAAATTGAGATCAAAATTTCACAGAAACCCCATCAAATTCAAAAGTTCCCTCTGAGCAAGCAACTACTTTGATAATAATTAATCATTTCAGTTACTTTTTAAATAATAAATGAAGAGTTTGTTTTCAAGGCCCTGAAATGTGAAGATTTCATGCTTTTTTTCTGTTGGATATGATTGAAATGTAAGTTTTTTGGGGGAGGGGGCTGATGATGGTACAAGCAATATGAGTAATGCCCTTTTTTGTTGTTTTTTTTACTGTATTGTTTAAACTAATTTAACAATCAATGTAGAAAATAGCCTGGTTGATGGTTAAAATAACTGTGAGTTGCAGGCCTCGACTGCAGTTTGAATGAATGACCACTAGGAAGGGACAAAGCTCTGCTGCTCTACGCTATTTTACCCACTCAGGCTTGAAGACTTGCCTTTTTACTTTCACATCCAACATGTTTGCAGCGTGCATTTACCAAGTCAACTGTAATTATTTGTTTTGGATAAAAATACTCTTTAAATTCTTGCATTTACTGTGTAATGCCACTAGAAGTGTGAAGGCGCTGCTACAATCTGCGTACTCCTTGTTGTTGGAAGAAAATAATCTTTCAATCAGGAATAAGTACAGTATGTAAAACACTCTTTAGTCGGCGCCTTGCTTATTGTTCTGATAAGAACCAAACGGAAATGCAAATGTTCTTGTTAAATCCCCTTCCTCGTGTGAGTTCATGCAGGTCATTTGAATAACACATGCATTTGTTACACTGTGGAATAATGGTGTTTATTGTGTGGGTCAAGTCAGTCTGAGCCTTTTCCTGCAATACAAATACTTCAATTAATTGAAAATATTTTTAGGAGACTGAACCAAGCTAATAATGTACTAATATTACACTTTAACAGCATCTCTGAGGTGCTGAGGAGAGGAACAGAGCACTCATATACTCCACTGGCTCTGCTTCAGTGTATAACTGTGAGTGCAGTAAGTGTGTGTGTGTGTACAGCATGAGTCACCCTGCCCGCCTGTGATTGGACGGTAGTTTATGGGTGAGGGAGGGGAGAGAGAGAGCCTTAGGGGCCGTCTGTCAATCTCTCCTCTGCTCCATTCACACGTTCATCTGCATGCATCGTCAGAGGAAGTGAGCGAGAGTCTCCTCATTCATAAAAAAAAAAAAAAAAAGAGAGAGAAAGTTCATTCATAAAAGCTGCACAATTCAGCTGAGCCTCAGAAAGAAAAGACAGGAGGGGAGGAAAGTTGATGAAGCAGAGCTGGAAGCCTGGCAGCTGACTGAGAAAGTGTTCGGGTCAGTAGGATGGGACTCAGCACGAACGGAGCGGAGCAGACTGGACTTTAAACCGCACAGGACGCCCCCCAGTCCCACTCTGGTGAGTTGAATCCGGTGTCGAGTGCAGCAGGAATCTCATCAAGTAACCTGAGAACACAGGATGCTACGATCATTCTCCACAGATCAACTGATTTGCAATTGAATCAAAACTTAATGTTTTTTATGCTGCTACCAGTCAAACCTCAGTATGCAACAACTGCGACTTTTCTTTCTTTTATCTTTCTTTACTTTGTTCCAGTTTTCTCCTCGTTGATTATGAGAGAGCAAACCTTTCCCAGGTTCAGATCACAGACAGGACTCTTACCAGGCAGGTCACTTTTGCAGTCATCATCCGTACAATGCAAACCATTGTTGTTGCATATCTGATTGTGACACTTTCTCTTATCTTCAGGTATGCTGAAACGCACTAAATACAGCCGTCTGCGCAACGATTCGCTGACATCGCTGGAGGATCATCCCCAAAGAATGCTCCCCCTGAAGAGGGACTTGTGCTTAGACTCTGATTTTGCTCAGCTGGATCCTGGGACGCCTGCACACCAGGGCCCGTCCACCCTGAGGGACTTCATCCCCCGTGTGGCCAACATCCGACTGCAGAGCCCCATTTCCCTGCGAGGCCTGAGGGGACAGGCAACCACGGGACACACCAGCAAACCCTCATCCAGACCAGAGTGGGGACCTGATGAGAGGTTTTGTAGCCCCCCTTCCTTTAGCGCGCCCTCGTCGACCGGCCAACAACTCATCCACCCTGCTCTGCGCTGCATGAAGAGACCCATCAGCCTGCATCGGATGGCCAGCCTCCCCTGGACACCTGGCTGTCCTCCCTGCTCCCAACACGGAGACGGTCTGTGCTGTTTGAAGACTTCCCCCGCAGTAGATGACAGCAGAGCGGTTCACCACCACATCAAGGTACCTCTATCTACACTGTGCATGAATTGAACTGCATTTGAACCACTACATGTTGAAGCTTCTTTACTTTACACTCTGCAACAAAGTGCAGTTGACCCCCGAATAACCCTGCAGATAGTTTCATTCCTGATAAAAAACAAACAGGACACATGTGAACATAGGAAGCACTCTTTGCCACACTCCGGCTCTCTCTTTGGTCTATCCACACCATCACTTTGTACATTCACCCCCTCCCTCCCTCTCAGATAGAGCTTCCTGTGTAGGCAGTAGTGACTCATCCTGCTCCTCTCTAGTTCAGCTCTGCTTGTGTGTGAGTGTATCTGGTATCAGCAGAGCCCATGCTGTCCTAGAACCGGAGGTGTGTCCGCATGGATGATTAGGGCCCCGCGAGCTGACCGCTGATGGAAATGAGAACGGACTGTCTGATTGTCCTCTATAAACAAGCACACACATACATTACACTTCCGCCCACTCACCCCACCCACACACACACACACACACACACACGTATTGATTTAAGTCTGGTTTCATCAATGGACTTACTCATCCTGCCTTCAGCCTATAGCATTTGCTTTACTGGAACTCAGGGCCAATAGCAGCTGGACTGTCCAGTGTGTATCCGAGCACATGGCCTAAATGTTGCCTGGTTGCTTGAATTCCTCCTCAATCCTTTTTTTTTTTTTAACATCTTTACAATCATATCCGTTTTCTTTTAGCGTTTGGCTAATTCTAATTCACAATACGTACACACACACAGGGAACATTATTTAGTCCGGCCTCACACTCTTGGTTAAAACTACGCAAGCTGCTTTCTGTATGAGCCTTGTTTTCACTGATTTCTTCCAGCTAAACGTCCTGAAAAGAATCAAGAACAGAGACAATAAAAGCGTAACAGAAAGCTGCAATGATGGAAAAGATGTGGTTTGACTTTTCCTATTTCTTAGGCAGACTTTGTGCCACAGATTGAACCCACTGCTGTTGTTTTAATTCCACTTAAAACTACATACAGGGAACAAAATTAAAGTACCAACCTCAACCCTGGACCCCTACAGTGAGAGGATCCGGTGGCCCCATTATGCTGTCGGGGGATTTTTGCTGACATTGTTTTGACCCACTTCTCCCCTTGGAGAGACAGGTCACTTCAAATCAATGCAAAGTTGTTCTAAGTAATCACTTTCACCCCATAGTAAAATATTTCCATCCCAGTCGGAGCGGTCTCCTCCAGGTGACAGTGCCTCCGTTTATTGAATCATTTACTGAATGATTTGATAGATGTAAAAACGATGTGAATCTGAATCATATGTTACAGCATTTGCAGATCTGACCCCAGTTAAACATGTATTGGAAACCATCATCAAAACACCAAATGAGGGAATACCTTAGAGTTCCAGAGACTTTGTAGAATCAACGCCAAGGAGCATTGAAGCTGTTCGGTTTGTTATTCATAACCACTCTGGAAGTCTTTATTTCAAACTGCACCAGTGTTTGTAATGCAGCTGGTAATCAGGCTAAACAGCTGATTGTTTTCCACCTGGTATCATTGTTCACTCTTTAATTTTCTTCCATGCTTGAGATTTATTAAAAAAGCTATAAAGCAGAATTACAACACAATGCACAAAATAAACTTTTTCAAATTATCACTTCAAATCACCTCGTTATCGAGTTACACAATTCTTGATGCATTTTGCAATATAGTTAAATTGATATTTATTCCAATAAAACATAATGAATTGATGAAAGAGGAAAGGATTAAAGATGAAAGATGAAACCCAGTGGAACATATCAATACTGTCAAAAACAAAACAAAACAAAAAAACTCTTCCTCTGTGCTGAGTCTGTGGTCGGTTTATAGGCTTTCTGGAAGTATCAACAAAATGATCCATAAAGTGCAGAACAATGTGGTCCAGTGGTTTCCTTTTTTTTTTTTTTTTTTGCTTGTGGCCAGTTAAAAGTATAAAATTCTTGTTGCAAACTTTATCGCTGCTGTAAAAAGATTGTCCTTCATTACATTCATATTATTAAACATTCTTGTTAGAGGTCTCAAGAGACAAAGTTATGTAAAAGGGAAGAAACAGAGAAAAAATCATGAAACATGTTGTTTTCTCTTCCAATCTTTCAACCTCTGAGAAGGACACTTAAGTTTTCGGAACAGGACAGAAACATTGCCGACATCAGCACTCTGTCTGAGGTCACTTAAGACTTTTACTGTGGTCGTCTCTTAGTGTATCATTTTACTCTGAAATCAGTGAGTAAGTGGCGTTTTGCTGTGTTTTCCCAGTACATGGGTAGCGTGGAGGTGACCCAGTCCATGAGAACCCTCGACTTTGATACGAGAATGCAAGTCACAAGGTAGGAGGTCCTCCCGGTGACACCGCACACTCACAGACACTCACAACGTTAAATACACATATTCCACATGAATGTCTCACCGCTTCACAGTCTGATGTTTTGCATGTACAGAGAAAAAGAAAAAATAAAGACAAAAAAGCCTGTATCCTAAATGAATCCAGCATATATTATCCAATCCAGACATGTGCAGCTTATTTAAAAAAAATATATTCAAAGGGGGAAATTAATTAAATGTATAATGTTTCATAAACCGGGGCTTTCTCATTTGATATTTGCATTCTAGTGCAGGATGCCAAAACACAGCGACCTCTGTTCACAGCAGCGCACTTGAATGATCGGGCAGAAAATCCAATTAGATGAATTTCCTCCTAATGATGTCTCATAGTCTTATTAAAGGGGAGAGAGAGGCAGAGAGACCTTAATCCATTACACACAATTTGTTTTCAAGGAAGAGAAAAGCTCTTCCTGCTTTTGTGTGTGTGTGTGTGTGTGTTTGTGTGCTTTGACCCCTCCGACCCGACAGTCAGCTCTCTGAAGACACATGACCAGGAGTGTGTTCAAGTGTCACTGCTTCAGAGAGATGCCTTTCCTCTACTTTATTCCGCGAATCTACTCTGTGACTTCTGTACAAAAGCTCATCGAGGCATGTTTCGTTGAACGCTATGATCAGTGGTCGTCGTAGTTGCAACGTAACAGTGTAACAGTATCATCACAAAAATGTACTAAAGCATCAAAAGTACTTGTTATGTAGCAAAATGTCTTCTTTATAACTTTCCAATGTGAACATATGAAACTCAGTTCAATAAAAATACACCAAACGGGCACTAAATGCACAGAGGGTAAAGATACTCAACATGTGAAATTGTTTCTACTCGGTCTGTATCTGAAGGAACATCATTTGAATAAAAATGAACAAACACTGATGAACCTCAGCTTTCTACGTGCTAAAACAAGTGATAGCTCTATTTTGGAAAAACAAAAACCTCATAGACCAACGATTACACCTTGGATAAAACAAACCTCTCCTAGAAAAAATGACCTCTATACTAAAAAACAAACAAAGAAAAAATGAGGAAGTTTGCAGACCCTTTATAGATGATGTAAAAAACTTCAACTGAGGAGTAGCTTCTTGTCAGCCTGTTGCAGATTTGATGAAGAATATGTGTGGATGAGAGGCGCAGTTCATTGTTTATTGGTATTCTATTCTTCCCTGCAATTATTTTTCTGTATAAATGTGTTTATTGAAAAAACAATAAAGATATTGTTGAAAGAAAAAGAAAAAAAAAAACATGTCAGTGTCAGAGCAGCAATATTTTGTCAAATTCTATCTTCTCTTTTTCGCACAGCATTCCAACACACGGGATGTCGTGAAACAGCCAAGCACACACTATACTGGGAATGTAAATGGGCAAACTGAGAGTGGGAGTCATAGACCACAAATCACAAGTCAGTATCAACCATTTGCATCAGGCAGTGTCACACATCTGCGATGCAAAGAGTTGATGAGGTTGTCGATGCTGGACACGTTCATCCAGAGCTGTCTGGCGGTTTTCTTAGATGATAAACGGTGGAGTTGTGGACGTTCAAGTGTCTGGCTGCGGTCCTAACTGACACACCAGCATCCAACATGCCAATATCCATTTTTCATCTTTCTCTTGTCATTTTGTGGCGTCGTGTCACTTGAGTAAAGCTGCATTTTTAAGGTGGATGTTAATATTCACTGGTCAAGGGAGCGTCTGGTGTCTGATCACTGTCCTTTGAAGTGAAACCTGACGAGGGTGTGGATCGACCGAATTATCAAAGATTTGTCACTAGATTATAATATTGAAGTATTATCAAAGTTGCTGAGGTTTTATTGTATGAACAGCATTAATTAGGTGAAGTTATTTACTCAACTTTTCAACTTAAGTATAGTTCACTTAACTGACAACTATACTTCTGAATTAATTTTAGGTTTTGCGTGAAAGAAATCGCTTGAGCTCACTAAATAAAATGACATTTACAGAGTTTTGTTAGAGGATTTAAAGATTGGTGAAAGAGAACTTAGCACTCCATTAGTGTTCTACAGAGATTTATCATGTGATCTGTGACTTGTAATGGAGTATGCTTACATTAATGAAACGTTTATTTCACTTAAGTAAAAGATCAGAATTTTTCTTCCACATCTGGTCAATAATACCAACTGTATGTTGTTATTATTGTTGCTAGAATCTTGATCTGAAACTAAAGCTGTCAAATATTTGCAATATATAGTAGAAGTTAAGTACAAATACCTCAAAATTGCACTCATGTGTTGTACTTGAATGAACGTATTTTCTCTCCCACAGCACACACTGCCACTTCTGTATGTAAAGTTACAGTATATGTTATATTTCACTGTCGATGAGCTTCTTGTAATACAGTTTCCTTCCTCTAATATTTTCACATGCAAGTCACATGTGGGCAGGATGCACCGGATCACATATTTACAAAGGTGTCTCTGTGCTCGGTGCGTCTGAATGTGTACATGTTAATCATCTGTGTGTGTTTGTGCAGGGAGGCGATCAGCAGACTGCGTGAGAGGACGTCAGCCAAAACAGCAGTGAAAACTAAAAGGGTGAGGCACGAATACACACACACACACACACACGCACACACACACACACACACACACTAGCTAATACAACCAACAGAGGCGTAACTGGAACAACTGTGATTTCTGCCCTCATCAGCCTGTGTGTAAGGGGCTGTCGGCTGTTCTGGGTCAAATCAACCTGCAGTTTTCCGGCAGCAGCATCATCGTCACCGTCTCCACAGACAGTGTGACTCTGATCGCTGCCTCCTCCTTACAGGTGACAGCTTCAGCTACGGCTCGGCCACATTTTAACTGCCGCACATCCGCATTAATGTGTATAAACCTTTCCTGTATTTGTGTTTGTTCCTGCTTTCTCTTACACAGAAGATTGCCCGACACCCCATGCAGGCCATTTCATTTGCCTCAGGAGGAGACCCAGTAAGTTCATTTTCTCACAAGTACAAACGCATTCATGGTTCAAGCATATGCACACACACACACACACACACACACACACACACGTACACACAGCGAGTAATTTGATTTAGTTTGATTACTGCTTGGTTTGCTGCCATTCGCAGAAAATTTAATTATTTCCTGCCCCAACTCTTGATCACTCTATACTTTTAATTGGTGGTGGGAGGCTCAGGGTCTGTAATTACCAAACATAAGACTCTAATGAAAGATAAAAACCCCTTCTTTTCCAAGAATATAAACTATTCATCAAATTTCCTTGCTAATATTCTTAAAGAACCCCAAAAGTTTCTTATAAATCCCTCTACAGTCATCGATTAAATCCCTACAAACACCTCTCTGTGTATCAAAGTTACACATTTTTACACATTCTTGTCATATAATATCTTAGATGTAATTCTACACAATCTGTCCCTCCTCCATTCACTGCAGCTGAGGCACACCAGCTCCCCACAACTCTGCTCAAACACTATAAATCTACTCGACGCTACAACTAGCAATACATGTTCAAGCCAAAAAACAATTCTAAGGAGGAATAATGACACAGAAAGTCCAACCCTGCAAGTTTACAGGATTTGTTCCTCAAGTTTGTTTTGTATGAAACCCCAGAAGCCTCAGTTCATGATGTGACACTGTCATCAGCACACTGCAGTTTAAAGGTGGAAATGCTCAGCCTTAGAACCGACTGCTTATTTTTGCTCACTTTAACATGTAAAAAAAAAAACAAACCATCATATAACTTATTTCTGGACTTTTTCAAATGTCATTCTGGTCCAGTGAAGGCGACAGAGAGATTTAGTGCATGTCAAAATTCAGATAAAAGGTCTTTTATCGATACAGTTGATGTCGTTCAGTGTTAGTTATGAAGCTGCTCCTGATTTAATTTGGTTGTTTTTTGAGGGCGGAAATTTAAAAAAATAGCCTCGAGCTTAAACACTTAATGGATTTTTTTTCCTGCAATCATTTTGTAAGCATCTCTATTGTCTGTACTGGTCAGAGGGACAAGAAAGTCCTTTTATTAAGATACTTCTGTGACACACCTTCTCTACCATTTTCCTATGAAAGCATATTATAAATAGCAAATGGAAAATGATTTTAAGGATTTTGCACCTATAAAATAAATATTTATTTAAGGTGCATGTTTGAAATAAATTTTTGTTACTTAAAACAATAACAGATGTGGGATAAATTCTTCTATCTGATTGGCTATTCCTGCTACAACCATGTGACCACTTTAAAAGTTACTCTTGCACTCAAGAATAAGTCCCTGGATAAATCTGTGCTATGCTTCACACTCAGCAAACAAGCATTTTACTTGTAATTGGGCTTGCTTTAACACTTAATGTAATTCTTTGGATCATTCATGTCTATAAGCAGCAAATCATGAAATATTTTCCTGTGAATTCAAACACTCATCAATGCTGGGATGTGCCAAGTGTGTTGCAAACCATTTACTCTTTTCTATTTTACTCCTTTTTTTTCTTCTTTTTTTTTTTTTAACTCCGTGTCCACATTATTTCCATATGACAGAATTTGGGTTATTCATGCTGAGTGGCCTAACTGCCTATAATGGATTGGATTAAAAAAAAAAAAAAAAAAAAGAAATCAATGCAGCTCTATTAATCTATGAACAGCCAGCAGGACATGTCAGTCCAGCTCAAACCCTGCTTCACTTATACAACCTGTACCTTGGTTTGCATCAGTAAGTTCACAATGCTGTGTGCACACTGCAACATTTCATTTTATTACTGCGCAGTTGAACTGACCAAAGATGAGAGAAAACAGGAAGGTAGTTTCTCTCCGGGAAATACAGTGAAGCTATGGATGGGATTATAGCCGGCTGTTTAATTAATTAGCTACAATAATCTTGTAGTGTGCTCTAAGCCTCTGCTCAGTTGGCTTGGGCACATGGAAGATAGCGAAGGGAATTAAAATCAATCTGCCACAGAAGCTTTATGGTGAAACATATTCAGCTGACTCTGCTCTTGTATTCGCATCAGACTGGTGGAGAGAGAATACATTAAACAGACAATACACACGGATAACCGTCAGCTGGAAATGTCCGTGCTGTGTTTTCAGTGATGAAATGTGCTGCTACCAGGCCGCACTATGAATCCAGAGACTGAGCACAGATTCTAAACCCACCTAATATACATGTTTTACACTGAACCAGCATGTCAAGAGGTATAGTATTGCCCATGCAGGGACACAAAACAAACAATACGGAGACTGAAAGGTGGAGTGTGCGATTTGAATTCTGTCTGTCCTAAATGTGAAAAAAAACAAAAAACAAATTGACCACCTAATTCCAGTTTTGTTTTTAAAAAAAAGCCATTTAAAACAAAGAACAGACATTTTTTTCATTACAAATTAATTGCAGATTACCCTGAGATACCAAAAACATTTTGCTGCTGCAGTCTACTTGGCCTTTCTCACCATAGTGTGACTACTGAGTCAGTTTTCTCACTTTATGATTCTAATTTACTTATGCTATGTATATATTGGCATCTAGCACCTTGTGGCCACAGTGGCTGCTGTTCAGCAAAAGTCTGAAAAGTGAAGTCAACGTGGCAGCAGGGGGGCAAAAAGAAGTCTGATTGTGCAGCAGTCTATGAGAAAATTAACCTAATTCTCACTGGATTTGCTACCTTAGTTAACCTTTTCCTATTGAGCTTATAGTTTGAATTACTGGTTTCAAGTCTCCTTTAATACAGAATGATCTTATTTAGTAAATTATGGTCCAGTTTTGAGTAAAATAGACAATCAAGAAGGGTGTGCATTAGGGCGTGTCTGCCTTGTATAGATGTGTGTTGTGACCCTCAGTCAGATCCACGTCTTGTTTCCAAAAACCAAAATGCCACACTATGGTCACTATATACATTTTTTATATACAGTCTATGGTTTTAAGTCATGTCTTTTATTATCTTCCTCTCCATTTTTCTACAGGACATGGCAGATTACATCGCTTACGTTGCCAAGGACCTTGTCAATCAGAGAGGTGAGGGAAGGTTTTGTGACAATGAGTTGGGTTTTCTCTGGAATTTCTTGCTTCATTGTGCAAATGCCCAAAAACATACTGTGTTTCTAACAGACAAAACATTTCTCTGGTTGTGTCTGGTAGCCTGTCACATCCTAGAGTGTCCTCAGGGTCGAGCTGGTGAGGTTATCAACAGCATTGGTCAGGCCTTTGAGACTCGCTTCCGGCAACTTCTGAGCCAAACGCCGTCGCTTCTCTCCACCAGTCCCAGGTTGTCCTCTTATTAACGCTACATAACGCAGTGAGTCGTCACACTGTTCGTCCTCAACATCTGAACATCATGTAAATTTCTACTATCAGCTCAGCAGTGAGAATCTGTCACAAACGGTGCCCAGAGGAGACAATAAAACACCAAAACGCCAAGCGGGAAGGTGAAGTCGGTGACCGCCGTGATTACTACAATGTGATCCCAGGAAAGACGCCTCCTCCTGGTGGGATAGAAGACCTGCGGATCACAAGGGAGGAGACCAAACAGGAAGCCGACTTAACTGGGGTGAGCGTTAACTGTACCACCAAAACAATATTTACTCAGTTGAGCTTGTAGATGTATTGTATCCTTGGAAACAGAAGTTTGACCAGAAAGGAAAACTCAAGACAAGGTCCAAACTGTTATTTCCAAAGCCTTAAACCACATCTTGTGACCTTCCCCAGAATATTAAATTGCTCAGCTGTCATTGAGAGGGTTTAATTGTGCTCACGTCAAAATGATTATATTATGTAAGTGTACATTAGATCTTGTGTTATACACTATACAATGACAGAAACGGCAACCACTGCACAATTCATGGGCTTTGGTTAATAGCTTCAGAAACAAGCTGGATGTTGTGTTGATGATTTAGATTATTTACTCCACAGTGGTGGTGATTATTGTGAATGTGGTGTTATATTTGCATTAGCAAAATTTGGTCATTTTAACTTTCCCTCAGGTGAAAAACCAGTGTTTTATGACCGTAACACGTCCTAATGGTGGTTTTTATATGCTGGAAGACACATCATGAGCAAAATAAACATTCAGTGCCACTGAGCAACTCTACCTTAAAACATTACATTGGAATTTATTAAAATGAACTTGTCTTTTCCAGCTATCTTAGTGTAAGTAGTGTTCATTTCTATGTAGTTTAACTTAAAATGTCTCATTTAATTAAGTTTATGACACAAATGTAGCATAAAAGCAGACTTTTGAGGATGCTCTGAGACTCTTTTTTTTTTTTTTTTTTTAATTTGAGAAAACATGGTAGAAACTTGCTGTGTGTCGTTCTTAAACCACGTTATAGTTGTTTCTTTTCACAATAATCAAAGCAGTTCTTACCAAAACAAAAGTTCTTTGTATGGAACTCAAAAATGGCTTCAACAGCTGAGGCTCTTTAAACTAAAAAAATAGCAAAGGAAAGCGAAGCTGTAGCCGTTGTATATGTGACTAGGTGATTCATCATAACATGTTTAGTTTCTGGAACTTGTTTTACAAGGTTCAACAATGTAGCTCAGCTAGTTTTACACTTTTTTTTTTTTAATGTAAAAAAAAACTCTAAATATGAAACTTTAATAAACAGAGATGACATAAACTTTTAGATCTCTCTTTATTCAAGAATACATTCACCAAACACAAATGTTCCTACATTTATACTTTTGAGTGACTCTGTACAGTGTAGATTTATTTGCTGGTCACAGAGGAGAAGTGGTGGAGGTTTTTAGTGCCTTGCTCAAGGGCACAGCAACGGTTGGTAATAAGCGATACACTTCAGCGCTTCTCATTCACTTCCCAGAATTGTTGTGCCAGTCTGGGAATTGAGACGGCAGCTTTCCTGTCATGACAACACATCTCTAACCTTTAGGCCATCGCTGCCCCTGAATGCTCTCAGACAGACGCAGTCTTGTGCGAATGACTCATCTGCTGTTGTTGCAGGTCTGTTGGTCTCGACCGGTTTCGCTCTACGAGAACTGCTCCGTCCCTGAAGAGGCTCCAGCTCCACCTGCAGGTGAAAACCATCAACGGTCCTCCAGCCCGATTTAAAATGTATCTGTACACCGTGTCTGTCTGTATGCGTGTGTGTCACTGTGATGAAAGTAATCAACTAGATTTACTCAATTAATCTATTTCAGGACTTTTTTTTTTTTTTTTAGGGAATTTCACTTTACTTGAGTGTTTGGATCTTTTCTTAGTCGATTCTTCTAGTCCACTACATATTACCCTTTTATTATTTCACTATATTTATTTTATGCTTAGTAACATTGCAGATTTAAATAATAATATAGCAGTTAATCAACAAATAAATTCTGATGAGTTATTATGGGTTACAACACAATCATTTATTGATCCGTGGAGTTGAATCCACAAAACCTCCCATCAATACAGACAGTTCAAATTAGTCTCACTTTTAGTTACACTTTTAGTTTAATTGAATTTCCCTTCTGGGATAAATAAAATATTTTAATTTCATTTCATTTTACCACCATTAAAGTGATGCACACATGAATGCATCAGTAATTATTCACACAATTTAAGGTGTAGTAGAAGAAAGGATGCCACCAAAAAAAAGCTTTTCATGATACTCCTATGTCTGATAGCCTCCCCAACCTTTGTGTCTGAGCCTATTAGGCTCCAACATTCAGAGTGAAGTCGACCCATTTAGTTTACATGATCAAACTGCAGCCAAACTGCACCCCTCAATTATAAATTTAAGTTCAACACGAAGTTTAAAGTGGAGTTGGTTGAATCTGAAACTGATTTAAAGATAGTTTTAGATTAAGATGAGATTTGATTTCAATTCAAGTTAAAACATTTGGTGCAACAGAAGAGTAAAAAAAGAAAAAAAAAAGCTAAAATCTTGGTTTAAAGGTAGTAATTCTTCTTCAACTTCATCTCCATCAGTGCAGTCTGAGGTTGAACAGTCCACTCCACCGACTGAGACTCTGGTCCAGAACCTGATCCAGGAAGAAGAATGGTTCCACGGCAGGTGAGTAATCAACATCTCTGCATCTATTTTTGTCTTTCAGTGACTCGTTAATGTCTGTTAATGTCCCTCTTTGTCTCTCCAGTAACTTTGTGTCCTTCTTCCCAGGTTAGGAAGGGAGCAGGCGGAGTCCCTCCTCACCTGTAGCGGGGATTTCCTGGTCAGAGAGAGCAGCTCTGCCTCTGGTCAGTATGTCCTGAGCGGTATGGAGGGAGCCACCGTGAGACACCTCCTGCTGGTCGATCCACATGGACAGGTAGAGCTGCGCTGTTGGATTTCAGATGCACTCATACACATTTATTGTTACTATTACTACTACTAACCCTGCTGTCTGTGTTTTCTGTGCGACCAGGTGCGGACGCGCGATCAGGTGTTTCTGAGCGTCAGCCACCTGGTGCGGTTCCACATGGAGAACCAGATGCCCATCGTTTCTGGAAGCAGTGAGCTGTGTCTCAAACAGCCAATCCTGCAATCACACTAGAATCCACAGACTGTATGTGTCAGAAACAATGAGCCCACGCAAGAACATTTTAAACCCTTCTGCTGCCCGGAATAATAAAAACAGCCGAGTCCTGTCAACACAGTGGACTTCATTTCCTGTGAGCGGTGGTGATTAGACAAAATTGCATCAATTTGTTGGGACAATATTGCATTATTTGGTCTTTACAGTGCTGTGTCCGTTTGATTTTTCTAACACGAGTAAATTCTCAAGCCCCTCTCTGTGTCTTCTTGCCTGTGTTGAGACCAGCTGTGGCCTGCAGAACTTCCCACCTCCCTCTCAGGCTGAATTCGCTGATGTTTACTCAAGCACAATCTCTGGTGTTGGGAGGAAACGACCAAAATGTTGGCAGACTTTACCAATCATATTTTTGCAAGATAAATTTGTCTTGTGCTCATTTGTTTTGATTTTTCTGGGGGTTTTTTTTGTTATTGTTCCCATTTCCCAAGCTTGACTTTTGAAAATAGCTTTTCATCCCACTTATTTCTCACATTCTGAATATGGAGTTCAAAAGCTCTTTGTTTGACTCAGATAAGCTGGCAAACATACAGATTCAGAAGTTTGATCAAATAGATCTTCATTTTTTTCAGCTTTCCAGTGAGATTTTTTTTAAGACTTGCACACACAACAGTACACATGATTACCTGCAAATAGGAGATTATAGGCTTTACTGTGTCTCTACTCAACCTCACACGGTGCAGCTTGAAAGCAGCTTTAAATTTTGCACAAAATGAGCCACCCAGTAAACAATAAAATTATTAACCTGCATGTTTAAGTTTCAAATCTTAAACAACTTTAGAGCAGGACTCTTGAATACAGTATTTAGAGGCCCATAAATGTTTTCAGGTTTTGCAAATCAAATCATCACAACATCAGGTGCTTTACTGTATTATACTCTTAATGCAACATAAAATCACCAGCTGTAGTGTCTGGATGTAAAAGGTTTAGAATTTCTCTTTCTTCTTAAGGTTAAAAAAAAATAAAAATTTGCAAAAATGTTCCTTTTTTATTTTACAGATTTTTTAAAAAAATCTCTATATATTATACAAAATAATAATGAATATACAAAAACAGACATTGCATTTTACATATTTAATGTAAAATAATAAATAAAACCCCTTGAATGTAAATAATCATCAAATTTCAATTTTGAAGGATTTTTGATACATAAAATGTCATTCATAATTTCTCGCAATTTCACTTCTATTTATTGAATAGAAGAGACTGTCTGATAGAGTAAACTTATGTCTAACATCAGATACAATTAATGACAATTAACAGAAAAAGATGTAATGTTTCTATATCATTCTAAACCAGGGGTGCCCAATCCTGGTCCTCGAGAGCCCCTATCCAGCATGTTTTAGATGTTTCCCTCTTCCAACACACCTGATTCCAATGATCAGGATCGTTATCAGGCTTCTGCAGAGCTTGATGATGAGCTGATCATTTGAATCAGGTGTGTTGGAAGAAGGAAACATCTAAAACATGCTGGATAGGGGCCCTCGAGGACCAGGATTGGCCACCCCTGTTCTAAACGATTACATATGCGACTATGGCAAAGAGATCAACTTTTTCACTGTCTGGATTCTTCAGGCCACAAGATGGTGCTGTCACTCTTTACAAGAGTTCTTTTCCCTTCATCATACACTAAAATATACTTTCTGATTTGTCAAATACCATCTGGTGAGATTTCTAAAACTGCATTTTCCCATCATCACATGGACACACATGTATAACGTCTTCATGAGGAAATATGACAAATGCACACATGCTAAAACCACAGATCCAAACTACAACCACCTTCTGCATTTCGATGGTTATTTCTTGAAGCAGATGTGTGTCTGAGAGAGCAGTAAAAATGGCTGGTAGTAAACAGCCTATAATAATTGCTGCAGCCCCTCTCCCTCACTTTTCAGCACCCTGTCACTTGTAGATTTTGGTGAAGTAAAAGATGACTGTGTGCTGAAAGTATGCAGTCGACTGTTTTCGGGGCTGCAGCCCTCGCCGTCCTCTGAGAGGCTCGGAGGGTCTCGCCCACATTAATCACCCTCGGAGCAGCTTGCTGGGCTGAGACTGGAGAGAAACTGGCAGCTGACGGGGAGAGAAGCAGCTCTGCTAAGGACTGATACAAGAAAAAGATAAACATTGATAGTGTATCTAAAGAAAAACAACACTTGAAGCGTTTCTGTTCAGATAACGTGAAGCAAAGAATTCACATGCTTCTTAACTTCCCACTATTCTCAGCTTATGGGTTGTCCAAAAGTCCAGAAAAATGTTTAGCCGGCTCTTTTCTACACCCTTTATGCACAACTGAAATGCAATCACATGTGCATCATTTGATTTAGACTCTGCCCAAACTGAGAATCAGATCATCTGTTAATATGAAAGGCTTTCACAAGTGTGAAATTAAGTGCTTTTTCATCCAAGTGAAGTGGTTTCCCTGCTTCTATTACGTCCCTGTGGATTTTCTGTGAGTCACACGGGCCTCACCCAGAACAACTCACCAAGAACAACAATGATCTAGTGTGTGATGCCATTCTTTCAGACTTGTGAGGCCTGCTGACGGTCACATGTTGTCAAACCTGTGAGGTCACAGTTTGACCTCTGACCCCTCATTAATGTCAGAGCAGCAGCTGGTCGACCTGTGTGGTGTTTCTGTACGAGCAGCAGTGAGAGGAACAAGGGCTGGATACGTTTCTGAGTGACTATCTTTGAAGAAGTATTCAGCCACTAAATAGAAACTCACCAAACAGTCATTTTACTGTGTGACTAACCATTATTGATAATTAGGAATATATGTAATAGGAAGATGATTTGCTCCATATTCTTCTGCTGGACCTGTCCAGGGCGTCCCCTGCCTTCGCCCTAAGTCAGCTGGGATAGGCTCCAGCCTCCCCGCAACCCTCGTGAGGATTAAGCGGTGTATAGATAATGGATGGATGGATTCTTCTGCTGGATAGAAAGAAGAGAGAAGCACATTTTGGGATGGTTTAATATGAATTCTGGCACCTTTATAAAATGCATTGAGTTCAGATGTGCTCAAAATGATCACAGTCAATATTCCACTTAACACAGTGCTTAAATATTTAAGCTATCAATACACTATGTGTTCACTGCCAAATGGTCTGTTAAAGGATATGAACAGCTTGTCCAACACATGAAAACGACTGGGAACATGGAGCCATTCACTTCTTTTGTAGACTGCGAGGTAACCAACTGACAGTGTCAAGTCCAGGTAGGTAACCTTCACCTCCACCTCCTGTTGAGGAAACACTCTCTGGGCTAACCTGGAGAATCTAGACCATTTGTCTCATTGTAGGCCTGTATTTTGACACCTTTATGAAATATTTAAACACTGTATGTGTTGGATGCCAAAGGAGCTTTTAAGTTATTTCTACTTTGCCAGATTTCTACACTGAAAGTTCTACACTGAACAAAAATATAAAGACAGAATGCAAACGGTCTTCTTTTCTCCCTTTTCTTGCTGTTGTAACAACCCTCCACCAGTCCACCAGGCATCCCTGTATTTTCCTGTGGCAGAGGCTGAGGAGGGTCATCAGCTGATTGAGCCACACCTGGGCCCAGGAGCTCAGCCTTAAAAGGCCTCCATCATTCTCTCACTTGTTCTCAGACAGGTTCTCTGACAGGAGCTCTTTCTGGCAGGAGCTGCTTGTCTCCAGAAACACCTGCAGTATGGTTTTGGGGGTTTTGTTTGGTTGTTTTTATTCACCTTTTGATTGTTCTTTTGCTGAAATAATTCATTTTAGTCACTGGATAGCTGTTGTCTCCTGGTTTTTGTTGCAGTTTTTGAGCCAAGTTGTAACACTGTGGTCAGAAAAGTGTTACATTTAGCCAATTGTGCACAAAAAGGGACAAATTCTTGACCACTGAGTTGACTGACATCCTCATCAGGTACAACTCCTTTGACCAGAGACTATAAAAGTGCAGAAGTGAATGACACTGATCTTCTCATTACAATGCGATGTTCTGCTGGGTTCTTTGACATGTACCTCCCACACAGGCATTGCTACAATATGGAACCGGTACTACTCCCCAACACCAGCAGCCTCCTCCTGCAGGATTATGAACTCTGCCACACCACAACAACTGACTCAAGGAACACGACCAAGAGCACGCAGCTTTAACCCAACGTCCAAACTCCCCACATTTCAATCTGATCCCCAGAGGTCGAGTATCCAAAGCCTGACAGGTCCGAGCTGTTTCGGGGGCAGGAGGAGGACATACACAATGATGGGCAGGTGGTTTTATTACTGTGGTTGATCAGTGTATACCTGTGCTGTATGTCTCAACAAAACAAACAGTTTGTTTGTTTGTTTGTTTTGCCAACACCTGTTTCTATAAATACACAATGATGACTGTGAATAATCAAAATGACAATGACAGATAATTCATTTGCTACGAGTCTGATTATTCAGTAATCAGGTATCTTTTTAAGTATCTTCATCTTGTTATTTTCTTATTCTTGTAGCCACTTGGTCAAACTATTCAATCAACTTGAACATGTCAGCTGTGATGCATTTTCTTCGACTTTCTGACTCTTTAGAGACCAATAGAGTTACTGCATTAGTTGATCAAATAAGCAGTTTATAAATCAATAAATAAAATGTTTGATAGTTGAAGTCAAATGTCCACTGTGTATATAATAACTTTTGTAACCATGTAAACAAATGATTAAACTCACTAAATAATGTGCAATAGCTGCCACATATTCACAGCTGTGCTTTGCTTTACACCATTTTATGATAATCTAATTAAAAGCATCACTGATAAAGCAATTCTTTTTCCATCTCCACAACAAGAAGTTTTCTTTAGTCACAGGGTTAAATCTAAAGTCTGCAGCTCAACCCACAGTAGGAACTTTACCTTGAATTAGGAAACCACGTGTTGTGTGTGCATTTGTTAGTGCATGTGTGTGTATTCCTTGAACCAGGCCAGTGACATGACAGCCTCAGAAACAGGAAATGATAAACATTCAGAATAATCTTCAGGTTCTGTGGCTTTGGTTCAGATCCAGAGCATTAAAAAGCCTGAACTCTTTGAATTCCTTTGCTGAATAAACTTGAGTGCTGATGAGCCTGAGGGCATTAACTTTAGACACACATGCTCACACACACACTGTGCATATGACAAAGCATTCCCAGACCCCGAAGCGCCTTAATGGAACAATTAAAGTCATAAAAAGCGCCCAGAGTACGA